TTTTATAAATATATATATATATAATATTTTTTATTTAATGTAAAAAAACATCTTGTAAAGATTTTGTCGTAAACATTGTCATTTTTCTACTCATAAATTAATAGCCAACGCTGTATTTTACAGTGTACAATATTCTATGATTAGAAGATATTGTCACGAACCTGCAACAAGACGGATTTATTTGAATGTCAGAAATGCCATTTGCAGTCAGCCTTGTTTGTCTCCTCGCACGAGGATGGTAATTGCACAGGTCGAGAATCATTCTCCTGATAAAGAGCAGGCTGTAATGTGCGTCGCATTTAGATGCGCATTTATACGCATACTGCAGCATTTTTCCATAATTCATACGCAGCATTAATTACGTAAATTGGTGCGTAAATTTAATTTACATAAAAAATTGTTCAGTATGCTGTTATCGTTCAATGAGACTAATATAAAGTTAAATATGTATACGTACTTGACACATGGCACTTTTTTATTATATTCTGTGGCATTTTTTACATTACAGGAAAAATAAAAGAAACTTTATTTAAGCCTAGCAAGATTGATATGACATGATTGAGGAACATTTATTATAATTATCCAATCATCAAAAATATATTTTTGATAAAACATTTTTTTTAGTAATAAATCTATTTACCTCAATCTATACACTTTTATTTCCTAGAAGGAGCAAATAAAATTTTATTTTTTAAATAAACATGATATACTTTTTTTTTCATACTAATCATTCTAATTTTTTTTTTTATTTTTCATCAAAAGAGGCAAAGAACACGTATCGCAAGAATGCTCGCGTGTTAGAGGAAAGAACTATCTCGTTTCACGGAATGGAGCCTTGACATTTTCTTCGTACGGACGAGAGCGAGTTACCTCGTGGAACATCGTAGATATCCAGTGATGTCTTACCTCGCAAAAACGGCCAGCACCTGATTACGTCACGGAAATAGTGGCGACAATTCCCCGAATATTTCACGTATCATAACGCGCGCCATGCCGACAGTTCCGTATATTGCAACATAAAAGACATTGGCGTCAAATGAATCAGAAATTTTAGCGACAAGAAAGTATTATATATACTGTTAAAGAATTTGTGTTTTTTTGTTAAAAAATATGCCAGTTAAAATTTTTGTTTTAAATATTTAAAACATTCACGTGTTAATTTAACATATTGCCATTGTGTTAATTGAACTCAAATGTTAAATTATTAAAACAACTGAAAAAAATTGTAAAAATGACAATGTGCACATATTTTTAATTTTACATAATAGAAATAGATATGCTCCGTATTATTAGTGACAGGATTTATCTGTTAAAATTTACAGAAAAAAAATGTCGATTTTATTCTACAATAGCAGTGAGAGTGATTACAGACCGTCAATAATATTTTTTCAAGATAGTTTTATCATTAAAAATGTTTTTATCATAAAAATGGTTGGTTTTATACAAAATTTCTTTCAGATCACTATGAAGTTTGCATTTATATTGTGTTAAAATATTAATATAGTATTAGTGTCACCAATTAACATATCCATATTATGTTAAATTAATACAAAAATTTGTGTGGACCATTTGGGACATGCCCCCATGGGGACATATGTTAAGGATGTATGTGTTATATATCAAAACAATGACAAAAGCATACAAATTTCGTAGACTGTTTTACTATTTCTTCTGAGTATCTGTGCAAAACCTGAGCACTATTTTCTTAACAATTTGGAAATTATTTAAGTTTAAACTTAACTTAAATTAACTTTAAAGTTAATATTGATTTTTATAGAAAATCGCGTATTGTGGCACTTACTGACAAATTTGATAAAGAAAAGATATTGCCAACAAAATATAAATTTTTGCATATATTAAGAAAACTTTAATAAATATTTGTGCAAAACTTGATTTAGATCCACTTAATCGCTTTAAAAGTTATTTACTAAAAATTGTAGAAAAATATTTATCTCTTTCTCTCTCTCTCTTTCTGCAAATTAATCGTTTTCCTTTGTTTCTTACAGTTGATTTCAGAGAGTATTCACGATCAAAAGTTTTTGTTATAAATAAAGAAAAAAATGTTAATTACAACTATTTTCTTTTACGAAGATGTTAAAAACCATATTATTTTATGATATTTTAATTCTTTTTATAATCCGAATTTATTTACTTGATTTTTCAAACGGTATAAACGTAAGAAATATGTTATTTTTTTTAATTTTGACAGTTTTTTGCTACTATTGTAGAGCCAAAACATTTTTTTAAATTGAAGTCAAATTTTTTCCAACAGTGTATAAGTATAGACAAAAATTACTAGTCGATAAATGCGAGGATCAATATCTGATCAAATATCTGATCGATATTTGATCGATAACGACGACATTATCACTTGTAGCGTCAGGAACGCATCGTCTGTCTAATGAGGGTGCGTAACTACTGACTGGGTGCGCCGCAAGATCGTCTGACAACGAAAGGTCAGTACTACTTCGCATTATCCGCGCTGCAGACAAAAGGGCTTTATCCGTCCATTGTACTCTCTCTTCTTCATTTTTCTTGTATTTTTATACTCACCTAAAAGATTACAAAGATCAGAAGAGCATTAAATTATAATTATCTATTATAATATAATTTATCAATAAACATTTCTGATAATATTCATCAATCAACTTTTTATCTATTTACTGTTCTTATGTAAAATATACGTGTATTAAACTTTTCACGATCCTTTTTAGAAATTACACGATAACTCTTTTGAAATATTGTAACTAAATAGCACGATTAAAAATATTTTATTTTTCCATTAGTTGTTGATCTAAAAAATATAGACAGAAACGTTTGCTTGCCTTCTGGTGTCGAAATTAAATTTTTCACTGTAATTCTAGTTTTATCCTGCGTTAGGTTCATAATATCAACCTTCAGCCTTTTCTGTTTTTCATTTTAGATTCACTAACATCGCGAAGTTATTTATATGGTAATTATTTACATTAACGGACACCTCGCCAATGACCTTGACCTTGACATATGTTGTCACGGACATGACCCTGAGTAACTTTTTCTTATAACTTAATCGGCGGTCTCTTATAATTCTGAGATATTTAAAGTTAAAGTTTGATTCGAAACGAAAATTTGGTTTGGGTTATACAACGTAACTCACACTAAATTTGGTAATTATTTACATTAAAAATTTGGTTTGGATTAGGTTATATCTTCCGGAAGTGGAGCCTCCCCGTAGGGGGGGCGGAACTCACTGCGTCCACGCATATACTTTCTCATCCATGCAACAATTGTGGGGCGGACTGTCTCTCTGTCTCTATATTATTACCCAAATGTTAACTTTAAATATCTCAGAAACTATAAGAGACCGCCGGTTAAGTTATAAGGAAAAGT